CCCCTTTTCTTTTTTTAGAAAGAGATTGCATTTCTAATCAATCTCCTTTAAATAAAAAAAAAACATTTAAAAATAATATATTTGGAATTTGGGCATGGCTTCTCATACTACTTGCTGTTGGTTTGGGGCACTGAAAATTTAATGGGAATCCTGAGGAAATTAAGAATTATAGTTAAATTTTGGCTGTAGTCTATGAGGATGTATTGTCTCAGCCAGTTCCTTTTAAGCTGATTTTGGATGATGGAACATCTGGAGACCTCTCAGGGGTCTTCTTTGTTCAAACCATGTCCTTACATGGCTTATCTTTATACTATTATTATCTTTATACTATTATTATCTTTATACTATTTTTACTGTCTCTTTAAAGACTTTATTTTTTAAAACTATGTATTTTTATATAACTTCACATATTCCTTTTCCTCCTCCAAGCCTATGTAGATTTTTACACACATTGTAAACATTTTAGAGTTTTATTCCATCTGAATTGGTCTTATTGTGAATCTATAATCCTTCTCTGAGCAGGAGAGATTTTAAACTGTTGAACTGAATGGCTAGGATGAAAAGCAGCAGCCTTGGCTGCTGACACCACCCACCTCAGCTTTCTAACATGGTGGAGATAATTTATTGCAAGCTCTGTGAGCCATGCTTTCTGCTGACTCTGGAAGTCAGTAGGTTGATGTCTCTATCATGGAGCCTATAGCCCAGAAACATTTTTGTCTATACTAGCAAATGCTAAGGCTACAACACAGGATGCTGTGCAGCTTGAAGATGTGACAGTGTACCATGGCAGGAATCCAACATGCTGTGCTCTAGCTCACATGCCGTAAACTCACCATACTGTAGGTCAAGCCTGTATACCACAACTTGCCTGAGAGATAGAACTAGGAATCTATTTTTGATCCATTTTAGAATCTTTTCTTTTTTTGGAAATTCTAACACATCTGCGTGCCAAATATAGTCAGAACGTTTCTGCAGTCTTGCCTAGCTCCCCACAGTCCCATCAAATCTCTCCCATCCATGGTCCCAGAGCTGCTTGGACCCAAGTAAACAAACAGAGGTTTATTTTTATTTACAGAATGTGTGGTCTATGGCAGCCCACTTGCTAGCTTGCTCTTATATCTTGAATTAATCCATTTCTATTCATCTATGTT